GTGGTGACCCCAGAGCCCATGGGCGGTGGGCGGGGCGGGGCCGGGCGGCGGGCGGGGCCGTTCCACCTCCAGCAGGCAGTCGCCGCAGTCGTGCAGCAGCAGCATGAGAGACCCGATGCGCACCAGGTTCGAGCCGTAAGAGAAGGTGATCAGGAAAACAGTCACGAAGTGGTGTGTCACCTGCTCCTTGAAATCCTGCGGGGGACAGTGGGTCACCGCAGGGACACATCTGGTGGCGGGGTCCCACCCACGGGCCTGGGAGCGGGGCCTTAGGGGGTCCGCGTAGTCTCTGTACCCCAACCCTCGCGAGCTGTGGAGATGCGGTCAACCGGCCCAACCCAGCGCCTGGTGCAGACTGCGCCTCAACGCCCCACAGCTGTCCATTTCCCCGGCTGGGCTCTTGGCGTGGCCTCACCTTGCGCTTGATATCAAAGGGCAGCGAAATGAGTAGCGAGCTGTAGAAACTTAGCTCCGTGAGGTACCACCAGGACAGGGTTGGTTTCAGGTGCTGTGGCAGGATGGGGCAAGGTCAGTTGTGGGCAGTGGAGTCTCTGGCAGGGCAGGGGCTGACTCAAGACTCTCCTCTTTGCTCCAAACCAAGCCCTTTCAAGTGAAGGAATGAGCTCCCCGTCACTGGAGGTAATCAAGGGCAGTTGTTCTGTGGCAGCCCAGAGGAGCCAAAAATAAAGAGTGGCACTGCGAGGGGAGTTTAGGGTGTGATGCTTAGGTTCGGCTCTTGTACTCGTGCCCACCCCCTGCTGCTCACCTGTCTTGGGTAATTTTTCCAGCTCTGTGAAATGTCCCACAACCACGGCTCCTGCAGAGGAACAGGGGCCTCAAGCTCCCGAAAGCCGGAAGCCGGCGGCCGCCCGGGTGTGGGGGCTCCCGGGAGCTCCCAGGGTCCTCTCAGTGCGGCCATCCATACTCACAGGGTACAGGATCAAGGTGCCGCCGATGAAGGCGCAGAAGTAGAAGAGAAACCTCCAGCTGCAGAGGGGGAGGAAGCCCGGGTCGCTGCTGCCCAAGGTGCAGACGGCCCCCTCGGCTGTCCCCAGCCCCGGGTTACCTGGCCTCACAGAACTTCTTGGACATGTGGGGCCAATCCTGGTTCCGGCGTCTCCGGAACCAGTGCTGAGTCTGTCGCAGCGTGAGGCCACACTGGGCAGCCAGGAGGGTCATCTGGGCCTGGGGAGGGGGCGACGGGGGCCAGGGTCACAGAGGCCTGGTGGTCGCTTCCTGCTCTCTGTCCCTGGAGAGGGCGGACCCGGCTCTGCTCTTCTTTCCTCTGGAGCCCCCATCTTGCCCGCGGGGTAGGCATGTCTACTATGGAGGGAGTGAGAGGCGAGTTGGGGGCAGGACCAGAACCCCTGGCTCTTAGGGGGACTGTGCCTTGTTCACGGATGGAGACTGGGGTTAAGAATGAGGCCGAGTCTCCATCCGTGAGCAAGGCACAGTCCCCCTAAGAAGCGAAGGTCGTGAGTTCGATTCCCGGTACCGGGGGAAAAAACAAAACAAAACAAAATGAAAAAAAGGAATGAGGCCAAGGAGCAGCAGCCCCAGGCTTTCCTGCATCCTCTCCAGAACAGGTTTGCAGATCCCAGGGCTAGGAAGCGCGGACCTCACCTCACCAAGTCTGTGGCAGGGAGGCACCAAGAGGGAGGCTGGCCAGGGCGGGACCTCACAGAGGCTGGGAGCCTCGCTGCCTAAGTATCGGAGCAGGGCGGGGCCTCGCCCCCAGGGAGGCTGCGGATCCAGGGGGAGTGTGGGGGGAGGGAGTTTGCGGTGGTACCCGAGGCCATGTTGGCTTCTCCAGCCCCCAGCAGGTGGGGCGGGTACCACCCAACTCCAGAGCTGCCATACTGGCCATGCGGATGGAGCGGGGCTCTCACCTCCTTGGGTTTCTGTCTTGTCTGGAAGTATTTCTCCAGCGTGGGGTTGGGCTTCACCTGCTTCCTGACTGGATCCCGCATACCCATCCAATGGCAGAAGGGCGCGCCTATGAATCTGGGTCAGGGGACACAGCCATCAGAATCGGGGAGACAAGGGACACAACTAAGGAGAGAGGGGCGTGGGGGAACGTGCTCTGGGCAGGGAAACTGAAGCTATCAGGGGCCAAGTTATGGAAGGCGGCACACAGCATGTAAAATTCGGGATTTTAAGATCGCCTTGGTGGCACACGCCCGCCTGTGATCCTAGCACTCGGGAGGCTGAGGCAGGAGGATCTCCAAAAGTTAAAGGCCAGCCTGAACTACAGAGTGAGACCCTGTCTCAAAAGACAAGACAAACCAGACCAAACATAACAGATAGCCAACTTCAGGAAGAAGGGGTACACTCCAATCTGTAGGGTAACCAGGTACCCTCACCACCCCAAAGCATAGAGGAGAGACCCCCCCACACACACTGCCTGGCGCGGGGGGCTCCAGTCTTGGTTCTCCTTTGCCTGGGGGCAGCTGGCTCCACCTCCTCCCAAGCTCCCCTTTTCCCCGCCCCCCACCGACCTTGGATTAGAAAGGACTCTGCTCAGTTATGCCATGAGCCACACAACACCCACCCTGGGCCACAGACGGGGACCGAGACTCATGTCCTCCATCTTGATCTCACCCCTCATTTGGAGAAACCGAGGCACAGAGCAGGGCAACAAGGACCTCGCTTCAGACTCAACTGCGACGGGGACGAGGGGGCTGGTGTTTCCTGAGTGCGAATCATTGCCAAGGCGGAGGCCAGGTCCACAGTAGACACGGGCTCCTTTAACCCTGGTATCTTTTATTTATTTGTTTGTTTTTTTGAGCCAGGTCTTGCTGTGTAGCTCAGGCTGGCCTCCAACTTGTGATGATCCTCCTGCCTCATCCTCTCGACGCTGGATGACAGGCACTTCGGCACCTGGCTCAGGGGCCCTTTTGTTCACGGACAGCGTGTGGCCCGTGCAGGCTGGCTCCTGGGTGGCTGCACACCCGGACTGGAGCCGTGGCTGGGGACCCCAGAAAGTGGGCTGCCGCCAGCGATGGGAGGAAGTGAGCAGCAGCAGCAGCAGCAGAAAGGAAAAGCGTTTTGGTGCAGAAGGAAACCCCGCCTGGTGCAGGCACGCCCGGAGCGGGGCTGGGACTGCCAGGCAAGGCGGAAGACGGTCACCTGTTGAAGGCGAGGCGGGCAGTCACCATCACCAGTGTCAGGGGCAGCACCACCAGCAAGTCCCTGGGGTGGGCCAGGACGATGCCATCCCCGTCCACCATGTCCGCCCATGTCGTAGGGGGTGGTAGCCAGATCCTCTCCTGCCACAGCAAGTCGTTGAGGGCGGACAGCATCCTGCAGACACACGGGGGACTGAGTGGGCCACCGTGCAGGACCTTGGGAGCCGCAGGACACAGGTCCCGGCCGCCCCAGCAGCTCACGGGTGAGTGTGCGTTGGCAGAGGCTGGGCCAGAGGGAGGACCTGTCCCTGCACCGGCCATCAGAACTGCGCTCTGGCCTCCCGCGGGTGGCACTTGGCCGCCTCCTCACCCTTATCCCACTGTCGCCTAGCAGAGGGCGTTATGGCCAGTGTTAAGGACAGGACTGGAGCCTGCTTTCTGGGGTCCCCAGCCACGACTCCAGTCCGGCTGTGTGTCCTCAGGCAAGTGACGCCACCTCTCTCTCTGAACCTCAAATTCACTCATAAAACAGGGACGGCCATACCCACTTCTCAGTGTGGCCTGCCAAGCATACACAGTGCTTGGTCCTCTAGCCCTTAACAAGAGCAGCAAGAGCAGCAGCAATACAGCTCAGAGTAATAGCTATTATTCGGTCCTTTTCAGATGCCAGAAGAGGGGCCGAAGTCCAAGGAGAGGCCCCTCTGGGCCAGGAACTCTGTGTGTGTGTGTGTGTGGTCCTGGGGACTGAACCCAATTCTTGCCCTGGAATTAACTCCTTCGCCAGGCTCTCTGCTCCTTAGACTAAACCCTGTGTGTTTCTGCACAAGGGCACTGAGTCTGAAGGTGAGTTAAGGTTGATAGTCAGCTGACCTTGAGATGAGAGGTCATCCGGGGTTGCTCGGAGACCCAGTGTCACCACAGGGTCCTCATAAGGAGGCAGCAGGGAAGTCAGAATCAGAGCCTAAAAGTTGCCTGTTCTGGCTCTGAGGACAGAGGCAGGGGCTGCAAGCCAACGGCTGCAGGCACCTCTAGGAGCCAGCACTGGTGGGCCCCCAGGAGATTCCCCTTGGAGCCCCTGGAGGGATTTGCCCTGTGGACATCTTGATTCCAGGCCAGTGAGCCTCATTTTGGACTCTGAGCTGCAGAGCTGTCGCATGATAAAAATCTGTGTGGCTTAGAGCCACTAAGATTTGGGTAACTTGGAAGATCAGCCGTAGGGAACCAATGGGAGCACCACAGATTTATTTTGCCTGATTTTGAACTTTTAAAAAAAATTTTTGGCTTTTTCAAACAGGGTCTCCCTGTGTAACCCAGGCTGGAGTCAAATTCACAGCAATCGTCCTGCCTCAGCTTCCCAAGTGTTTAGATGACAGATGTGCGCCGTAATGCCTGGCCTGCTTTTGAACTTTATGTCACATGTGCTCCTCTGTGTGACTCGACACTGTTTTCTTTGGGGTCGGTGCTGCAGATGGAACCCAGGGTCTCTTGCATGCCAAGAAGGTGCTCTACCACTGAGTTACACCCCCAGCCCAGTGTTCACATATGTAATACATTGTTGGAGACAGTCATGCTAGATTGCTAGACTGCCCGGCTGTGCTCCTAATTGACATCCTCCTGCTTCAGCTTCCCAGAGTGCTGGGATTATACATATGCTCAGCCATGCCCAAACTCTTTGTCCTCCTTCCTTGAAAATTTATCTGGAATCTGGTCCTAGTTCTGCACGTTACTTCATCTGGACAGTCCAGAGCACAGCCATCTGTTTTGTTTTTACTTTTGTGGAGACTGGGCCTTGCTATGTAGTTCAGGCTGGCCATGAACTCATTATGTAGCCCAGGCTAGCCTAGAACTTGAGGTGGTCCTCCTGCCTCAGCCTCTTGAATGCGGGAATTATAGGTGTGTGCCACCAAACCTGGCTCATAGCTGCCTTTCAAAAGTGGCTCACTCCTTGCATGGTGACTAACACCCAACCATTTCCATCTCTCCTATAACAAAACACAGATCAGAGCATGATGTGACCCCAGCCACTCAGGAGGCTGAGGCAGGAGGATCACAAGTTCAAACACAGCCTGGGCAATTTAACAAGACCCTATCTAAAGTTTTTTTAAAGGGCTGGGGATGTGGTTCACTGGTAGCATGCTTGCCTAGGTATGCAGGGAAAGTTTCTGGAAGGAATATTTACAGGAGGAGAGTGGATTTGTGCAAACTTAGCAATCATCTGCTTAAAATGCATAGATTCACCCCAGCACACTGTAACTTGAAAGGAATCGCTTCTCGGCCTTTTGGCTAAGATCAAGTGTGAAAGGGAAAAAACTTGTAAGCAAATACTGGACCTTGATTCATACCTGTGGGCTGAAATGTTCAGGGGTAGTGTGGTT